TACAGGGGTAACTATAGGGATGTTATTTGATATCAATGAATATGCGATATCAGCTCCACTATCACTATAACCTCCAGGTTTTAGTGGCTTCCGAATTCCGTTAACTATGGGAGGTTGTAGTGCTTGATACAAAATAGCAACTGGACTGACTTCCTTAAATTCAAAATTATAAAAGCTATAGAAACTTCTAAAATCTAAATTTTTCTCTTTATAAAAATTTTTGTTTAATCTAATTCCTGTATTTATTTTCTTGTTTTTGGAAACATTATCATCATTAAATGGTATATAAGGTGTATATGGGATAGTAGCACGATTATTCTTATAGATATCATGCACATTTTTAAAAATAATAGGGTTATCATCATTTAACCAAACTCGACGTAATTTACGATTTCCAGCAAATTTGCTGCGGCCATGCAACATTCTATGATTATCCAATATTAAGATATGGTCCTTTTCTTTAAGGAGAACTTTAACTTGATATGCTGGGTTCATATGATAATTATTATGAAGAAATTTTACAGCGTCATGGGACCAGTATGGTGCAAATGTTGCCCAATCATATCGAAAATGTACGCGAATGCTATCATCTTGCATGCGCATATAGACAGGATAATTCATAGACATAAGATCATCCCTGTAAAATGCTATGCATCCAGGCTTCATTAAAATCTCAGCTAGTTTTGGCCTTTCTGTCAATATTGATTCCAGTACTTTCTTGCCGTCAACAAGTATGATTTCGCCACCATTAGCATCATATTCAATAGGTTGGAGCAAAAGCATCTTAGGGGGGCAAATTTTTACCATTGTAGTTTGGGCTGGGAACATACCTTCAAGAAAGGCACCATCAGTATGAGGAGAGATAGCCACTTCTTTTGATGTACCTTGATATTGATCCTTAAAATTTTTCCAGCTAGAATCTTTCGAGTCTAATTCACTAATAATGCCATCATGAGCAGCACGAATATGAGGTTGAATTATCCCTAGAGCTTGAGAGATAGTCTTAAGTGTTATAATATCAGAATTCCAAGCTTTTATGACAGAAAAACCCCTGCTTTCAATTTCATTTTTAATATCTTGTAATGATTGGGAAAATTGAGCAGGAGCACAGCAAATTAGAGAAAAGTTATTCATTAATAATTTCTTATCCATTCTCAGGATAATTAAAACTTTATTATTTTTGGTTATTTTATCGTTATTTATAAACTTTAAAGCTTAAAAATATCATACATGGTTTCAAAATAACACCCATGCACGTCCTGAATGACGAGCGCCCCATATTAGAGTTTCT